TTGGGACTTCCTCCTGAAGGCTTTGGGAAAGCAATCAGAGGTCTCTGAACAAGGATGTGGCCTGATTGGCTTTTGGGCTTCACAAAGACAGCTCTGGTAACCACGGAAAGCACTACCTAAGTTGCTACAGGAGTTCGGGTGAGGGCAGTGCAGGCCAGACCCAAGGCAGTGGGACTGAGGAGAGAGAGTAAACTTGAAAAACAGTAAAGATAGAATGGACAGAACTGAATGCATATTCAGTAAGAAATGATTTAATGTAGAGCAGGAGGGAAAGAAAAGATTTGAGAACGTCAAATAGTAAGCTGAGTATCTGGATAGATATTTTTTCAGAGTCCCTGGGTGGTGCAAATGGCTAAGGCACTTGGCTGCTAACCAAAAAGTTGGAGGTTCAAGTCCACCCAGAGATGCCTTGGAAGAAAGGCCTGATGATCTACTCCTGAAAGATCAGCCATTGAAAACCCTCTGGAGCTCAACTGTACTCTGACACCCATGGGGTCACCATGAGTCACAGTTGGCTTGACAGCAACTGGTTTTACTGGTTTATTTTCTCCAAAATCATTTTGTAGGAACCAATTGAATTGATCTAATCCTTTAGATGGCTACTTAGGCATGTAGCCCTATAAGAGCTATATTTGCATTTTAGCAATTAAAAAAAATTAATCCAAAATAATTAACCATTAACAAGCAGGCACCTTTTATGGAGAAAGAGGCTTCTCTGTCTTTGAAATCACGTTGCCTAGACAACCCCTTACATTTGCGTTGGTGGCCCTATTCAGAGGGACTTCCAAGCCCTGGTGCAGAGCTGTTGGCATCTTGCCTTTCCTTCCATGATCCCCTAGTCAGAGTGAGGAGTAAGCCAGTGAAGGAGCCACCAGGGGGGGAGCTACAGATACATGATGATTCAGGACAGCCTGCCACAGCCAAACCACAACTTTAAATTGTTTGGGGAGTAGTCCTAAAAACTAGTCTTGTTGTCATGGTTTCACCCTAATCTTTATCAGCTGCATAGGGATGAGGCTTCATTGTCATACACTTAATGCTTTTGCTCAGATCTTTGGCAAACTGATGTTTTTCCATGACTTTTTGACAGTTATTTTTGTTCAATGATAAATAATAAAGTGAGATTTACAATCTGTATATGACAACATTTATTTTATTTTGACATTTCTTTTCTAGACAGCAAAGGTTTTGTAATTAGGTTTTCCCTCTGCCAAGATGTTGCTGAAAAACTATTTCCCTGAAGAAATATTTCATAGCTTCCTTTACTGGTTGGAGTCATCTTATTTTGATCTGGAAGTTTCTTCGTAAGTCAGTCAGGAAATGAAACAAGAAAATTTCTCTTGAAAATGAATTCTTAATAAGAAAAAAAATTAACCCTTGCCATAAAGAAAATTAGGAAGGAAAATGAGAAGAAACACATTTGGAACAGTGGTGGTACTATTGGCTTTTTTTTTTTTTTTTAATTTATGTCAGACAAGTAGGCAATACAGGAGACCCTTTTCTCCCTTGTTGCAAACGAGCTTATTTCATTTTATTTTAAATCTCATCAGCTTTATGCCAAACTCTTTGAAATACCCAGGAGACTGCAACTAGAAACGATGGACAGTCCCCGACTTTCTCACACATGTACTCAACTAAAGGGCCGACTTGATGGAGTCTGCTCCTTTGCTGGGCAGGTGGCAACCATCAGCCAGATGCCAGCGGAGGAGGTACAAGCCCAGCAAAGCTGAACTGCCCCCTTCATGCTTCCAAGTCTGCAGTTGGCTCTGTGATGGGAGTCCAAGAGGAGAAGTTGCAGGTGTGTCAACTGGCAGTGCTTTTTCCCTGGAATGCTCTTGAAAAAACAAATGATGAGGGAAACCACACTGATAACTGATTATTATTGCTAATGGCAAAAACATCACAGTTGAGCTAATGGCAAAAACAGTCGCACGCACGCCATCAGCGCCCTTTCTAATAATACGTGGAAACATCTTCCAGCTCCTACAGTAGCAGCAGCGGCCAAATTGTCGTAACAGCCCAGAGCACTTTCCTTTCTGAGTCATAACTGAGAGGCTACCCCTAGAATCAGATTCCAGTCCCAGCCACCCTTATCCCCATCATCGCTACTCTGACTTCCACCACCACCATCATCCAATATTGAACACTCTTGTTAGTATTGAACAGTAACAAATATAAAAATATGAAGGACACAATATATAATATCTCAAAGGAGCTTGTCTATTTGAAAAGAAGACAACATAAGACCCAGACATGTTCTGTGAGCACTGAGCTGGTATCTTTTATAGCAATCTAGACAATAAGTAAAATAATAGTGTTTGTCTCAGCCATTCTTGATATCATGGGAAGAGGGTAGATTTATTTTTTTCCAGTGTGTTTTTGTATCACATGCACGGTACCTTCTTTTAAGTTTTGATACATAGGTTATGGGTGACTGGTACTCTGTGAACAGAGCACATGGAGGAATTTCACACTTCTAGAGATAGGGCCCTCTTATTGTTTGGAATATATAGGTCTGCTCAGCTTGTGTGTGAAATGCAATGTGTATTCAATAAACTGGCAGGGGTAAATGTTTGGACCTTGAATTTTTGCCAAGAAGAGATGTGGTGAGGTCTGGGGACAGGTTCTTATAAGCCTGTGATATGAATGATGAGACTGATTGTCAGCTAGCCCAAGTGTTGAGGAATTGCTATCTTCATCTGATCTAGCTCAAAATTATTCTCTGTTCCTCTTCATGAAGCACATAAAGGAATTGAGGACCTGGTGTGTTAAGGACTTGATCAGACGCCTCCTTGGCAGTAGAGCCTTGAATTTCTCATCCACCAGTGATAAAGACTCCTCTAAAGGGAATGATCATCACTTAAAATAACTTTCCTTTTGCCAGGTCACGGGAAGAGTGTACACTTTGCTGAGATTGACCAGTGTTCTCTCTGAGAAGTTTATGGTGTTCACAGGGAAGCTTTCTATGGCCTAGAGGTATAAAACCCAGTCTCCAAAGGGACATCAGGAGCATAGCACTGCAGGGACAGAAGGAGCCTGGATCTGGGGGTCACACAGACCTTGTTTGAATCCTAGCTTTGCCACTTACTAGCTGTTTGGCCTTTCCAAACCTCGGTTTTTTGTTGTTGTTGTTTTGCTTTGTTTTTTTTTAGCAGTAAAATGTTATAATCCTAGACTATTTGGGTTGTTATAAAAATTAAAAATAACAACGACAACAGTAGGTACAATTTATTGAGTGCTTAAGTTGTACTAGGCACCCTGCCAAGCAGTGTTCATAAACAGTGTCATTTAATTCTCACCATAACATATGAGGTAGGAATGATTATTTCCACATTAAAGATGAGGAAACTGAGGTAAACATATTGCCTCTGGTCACACAGCCATTGAGCAGCTAGAGTCAGGCCTATTCCAGGTCTGTCAGACTCCAGATTCTGTGAGAGAGAATGTAAATGCAGACTGGTGCCTGGCACATAAAAAACAAAAACAGTTGCCATCGAATCCACTCTGACTCCTGGTGACCCCAAGTGTGTCAGAGTAGAACTGTGCTCCATAGGGTTTTTAGTGGCTGTTTCTTCAGAAGTAGGTCACCAGGTCTGTCTTTCTTTTGAGGTACCTCTTGCTGTGGTGGCAGCTGAGTGCGTTAACCATTTGCACTGCCCAGGGACTCTGCCTGGCACATACTAGGTGCTTAACATAGTAGGTATAGTTCTCTTTTCTTCCATATGCACCCTGTGGCTTTGAAAGATCTCTGATTTCTGTATTAGATTGTTATATACAACGTTCTATAAAGCAGGTCCGCCATACTGCCCTCATGTGGTTCATTTGGATAGCAGGGGTTTTTGTTTGTTTTTAATTGAAGTGCAATACATATGCAAATAAATGTTACTTAAAATGTGTCTCTAAAGTCACCTAAGTGTATGGATACTTTTGGAGCTAGTATGATGCTACAACCTCAGTATACAAAAAATATCACTTCCTATTCTGCAGTCTAACTCTGAGTCCTCTCCTGGCTGATGAGATACTTAATTCCAGTCACTCTTATAACCTTTACTTTGTCTTCACCAAGCTTCCCATTCTCTCTGCTGTCTTGGAAGGGAAACCTTCTCTTTCCTGGCATTGCACATGATGCAGCTTTATCTTGCTATGCTGTTAAGAAGGGAATAATTTTTCTCGCAATTATTTTTCCAGCTGACTGCTCTGTTTATAAGAGACATTTAGCCCACTAGAGAAATCTTCAACTTTCACAGTTAAGAAAGAGGTCAGATTACCAGAGAGTAGAATGCTAATTCACTTATCAGGTTAAATGTGAAAAAAAATTTGCAAAAAAAAAAAAAAAAGATCCACTGTCTCCACTTCTCAGGAGCTTTAAGTCACTAAGAGAAACGAATTGAAAGGTGTCTTTTCATGTACCAGGGGGCTTCAGCTTACATGGACTCATCCTCCTATGCTATGCAAAGTCACACACATGCATTTGAAACTTAGTTGATCTCTTGGCACAGGGACCTATCCTAAGCAACTACAGTCAGGGAACTTTCTTGTTTTTCAGTGGCCTTATCCATGGAGGAGAGTCCCTAGGTGGTACAAACAGTTAACACTCTCGCTGCTAACCAAAATGTTGGAGGTTCAAGTCTACCCATTGGTGCCTTGGAAAAAAGTCCTGGCAATCTACTTCCCAAAAATCAGCCATTGAAAACCCAGTGGAGCACAGTTCTATTCTGACACACATGGAGTTTCCATGAGTTAGAGTAGACTTAGTAACAACTGGTTTTATCCATGGAGGAGGGAGGATATGTACCACACTAGATCAGGTTTTTATGTGAAATGGTAGGAGGGTAGTATGGAGTGGGAGGAAGGGTGTTTGGTATGGGAGAGGGTAAGAGGAGTTTTTCATTTTTACTTTTTTAGACACTGTTTAATGACAATGTACGCAGAAGTCTTCTGTTCTTAAATGTATTTAATGGTTAACATTGACCTCATGCCAAGACCTAATTGTGTTTCAGATAACGGAGGGCAGACTTTGGCTGGAGGCAATAACTGGCCCCTTCGAGGAAGAAAATGGAGCCTGTGGGAAGGCGGTGTTCGAGGGGTGGGCTTTGTGGTAAGCCCCTTGCTGAAACAGAAGGGTGTGAAGAACCGGGAGCTGATCCACATTTCTGATTGGCTGCCAACTCTGGTGAAGCTGGCTGGGGGACACACAAATGGCACCAAGCCCCTGGATGGCTTTGACGTGTGGAAAACCATCAGGTACCTGAACCTTTCTCTCTTTCCTCCTAGGACTGAAACCCCAAAAACAGGTTGACTTGATTGAATCAGGATGATAGCTTTTGTGTTAAAATGATAGTCCTGCTTACAAATAAATGATATTTTTTTATAAAAGGAAATGCCTTTAGAAATATTGTAATATATATTTTTGAGCTCCAAATTTGAGATTGTGGGCCCACATTTTACATGAAGAGCAGGATTTTCACTCACCCTCTATCTAAGGTCTATTAAAGTGTGAGTGTCCTTTAAAGTGGAGACACTTTATCAATGTGGTATTGATAGCTTCCTACGGGGGGTTAGGGGCCCTGTCCTAGAAGAATGGAGGACCAGGCAGAGGGGAATGAGCTGGTCCCTGTGGACTTTTAAGTTTATAATCCACGATGCACCTAATCACAGTATTCAACAGCCTGGATATACCACAATTTACTCATCTCTAGTTGCTGGATATATACATTATTTCTTATATTTTTATATATAGATTTCTCTGTAATCAACAATCTTCAACATTAAAAAATAATAGGGTTTGGCAGAAGATTATTTTATACAAAGAAAGTTTGACAGCTATTAAAGTTTAAAGCTTCCTGTTAGTTTAGGAATGGATGGAGAAGCATTCAGCTGGGCTTCTTGGCCTCTCAGCAACCGTCCAGTCTATTGGTTCCTCTCTAGTGAGCCTCACCCAGAGGAGGTGAGAAGAGGGAAAGTACTCATTGCTTGCACATCAAAGGGAATATCTGATTTGATTAGCCTTATAACCCATCTTCTTTAAGTTATTTTGCCAGGTTCTCCTTGGAGAATTTATCAAATTTAAAAGATCATTTTTGAAGCAGCCAAGTTTAAAGCATTGGGATAGCTTTCTTCACCTTTTTCAACTTATTTCAAACCGTTTTGTAAATTATATTATATGGAGGCAAAAAGTCCTCACCAGCCCCCAATTGTTTGTTTTTATTCTTGTCTGAGAAGTTGATTTTTCATTTTGGAGACAGTGACCAATTTATAAAAGACCATTTATTATTAGCTATTTTAAAAACACTCAACAGCATCCAAGTCACAGGTAAGTTAGTACTAATGAACAGCTAAGCCCAAAAACAAACAGAACGTTTTATCTCAGTTATTTTGAAAGTTTGTACTTCTTATTTGTACATTCAGATAAGATCACTCTTTTTTTCTTTCTCTTTCAAATGTTTCTGCCTCTATCCATGATCTAAACTTGATATATCCACATGTGTTCAGCAATTGCTCTATTTTTACTTTGTTTTCCTGAATATTAGTGACATATGTTCATTATTGGAGCACTGGTAGCATAGTGGTTAAGAACTTGGCTGCTAACCAAAAAGTGGGCAGTTCGAATCTACCAGCTGTTGCTTGGAAACCCTGTGGGGCAGTTCTACTCTGTCCTGTTGGGTCACTATGAGACAGAATCGACTCGATGGCAATGGGTTTGGTTTTCTCGGTTATGCTCATTATAGATTCAATTTACAATTTTCAAATTACCAAAAATAAAAAATAATCACCCAAACCATACATACTGTAAATGTTTTGCCATATTTCCTTATAATTTTTCTTTTTGGCATTTTTTACCACTTCTTTTTCCCTCATTTAACATTATATCATCAGTTTTTGATCATGTTACCCAAAAAACTCACTGCAAAGACTATTTTAAAGGCTGCATATTCTATCATATGTAAGTGCCTTGATACACTTAACCATTCCCTTAACTTAGATTTTTATTTTCTTAAAATCAGTAACACTGTAATAAAAATTTTGTACGTGAAATCTCTATGTTTTGGATTTTTCCCTTAGATATAAATGATTTGAAATTAAATTATTGACCTAAAAGGGAATGACTATTTTAAAAGCATTTGGTACACATTATACAATTTCTTTCCAGAAAGACCATGCCAGTGTATGCTTGTCCACTGGTGTATGAGAGTTCTCATCTCTTTCACAGCTTTGAATGAGTATAGTTTTTAAAGATCTTTGCAAATAAAACCAAACCTGTTGCCATCGAGTTGATTCCCTTATAGCGACCCTATAGGACAGAGTAGAACTGCCCCATAGGGTTTCCAAGGAACAGCTGATAGATTTGAACTGCCGACCTTTTAGTTAGCAACCTAGCTCTTAACCACTATACCACCAGGGCTCCAAATACTATAGGCAAAATATCTCATTTTAACTTGAATTTATTTGATTATTAAAGAGACTAATCTTTTAAATGTTTATATTCCATTTGTATTTTCTCCTTTAATAGTACTCACTTCATGCCTTTTTACATTTATTTACTGAAGAATATGTGTTTTTCTTACAGGTTTGTTTACTCCATTAATTCTTCTGATTACAAATATTTTTCCTGTCAAATTTGCCTTTTAATTTTGTTGATGATTTTTTTGACATAGATGTCTTTCACATTTTATTTAAGTCAGTTTTCTCTTGCTTTTTTGTTCAGAAATCTCTTTCTCAACCTAAAATGTGCTAAATATTTGTCTATATTTTATTCTAAATGTTGTGGTTTGATTTTCCATATAATTCTTGAATTGTTTTTGAGATGTTGTATGTGTTATGTGAGGTGAATATCTAAATAAGGGTTTTTCTCCTGAGAGTTTTGGATCATAGACCTTTTTGAGACTCTAATGAAAGCCGTGGACTTACAGAAAATAGAAGTACCTGAACATATGCACAAAAATTTAGGTAGTTTATTTCATAGTATTGGAAAACTATTTTCTTTATACTTAGAAAAACATGAGAAACATTCTTCACAAACTTAGCCCTCTTTTGTTCACTTATAATGCAAAAGTTAAAAATTCACGAAAAAAGGAAATAAAACAAATTTTCCAAGCAAAACATAAACTTCAGTTTAGCCTATCACCAACTTTCAATGTGAAGGCTGCTGAGATTTGCCGTAAACAACTAGGAGAAAGTTTTGAGTGGTTTTGACATAGCAACATTTGTGCCATGTTTGAATCCAATCAGTTTTTATTTCTCCTTTGTTTTGTTTTGGTGACAAAATCTTGACTTGTAAAAGCACTCAACAGCAAATGGAATGAAAGCTTCCCAGCACATTTTGACAGACGATGATAGGCTTCAGTTGAGAAACAGTTGAATTCGTTTTGAATACTTTTCTTTGTCCCCATTCATTGTGGTTATTATCTTTGGCAAAGTCCACGTCATTGATGTTTCATAAATCCTTCTTTCAATCTTAAAATTGTCTTGATCAGAAGTAACCTTTAAGAGTTCAGCCCATGCTTGCTTCTGTCTGCAGAGAAACTGGAAAAAATGTGGTCACCTTTAACTCTAGATTGCAGGAGGGTTTTCTTCAGTGTTAGAACATTCTCCTGTGACCAGTCTCCTCTTATCATACAGGAGCTCTGTATTCTTCAGCTGCGTACACGATATAGACTACAGGGCTTTAACCAAAAGATATGGCCAAAAATATTGTCCAAGTATGCTAAGCTGTGAGAAAGTGAACTTTCCTTTTCATTGATTTTTTTTTAAGTGAAATTTCTGCCCAAAGCTTAACCAAGCATTTCAGAACTTCTCCTCTGAAAATCCAGCAAATTTCTGTTTGGTAAGTGAAGAACTGCTCTCATTCTACTCCCATTTCTTTTTATTTTATTTTTTATTGTACTTTAGATGAAGGTTTACAGAACAAATAGTTTCTCATTATACAGTCAGTACACATATTGTTTTATGACATTGCTTAACAACTCCGCGACATGTCAACACTCTCCCTTCTCGACCTTGGAGGACCTTTTTTTTCTTTTCTTTTTTTTTTTTTTGGTGAAAATATACATAGCCAAAGATACACCATTTCAAAAATTTCTACATGTACAATTCAGAGACATCGATTACATTCTTCTGGTTGTGCTGCTATTCTTACTATCCTTTTCCAAATTATTCCATCACCATTATCTTCAACCCACTGACCTCTAGGCTTCCCATCAAACCTTTTGAGTTGCTGTTGTCAATTTGATCTCAAATAGATAATTCTTTTTTTTTTTTTATACTTTAGATGAAGGTTTACAGAACAAAATATTTTCTCATTAAGCAGTTAGTACACATATTGCCCTATGACAATGGTTAACAACCCCACGACATGTCAACACTGTCCCTTCTCAACCTTGGGTTCCCTATCACCAGCTTTCCTGTCCCCTCCTGCCTTCTAGTCCTTGTCACTGGACTGCTGTGCCTCATTAGTCCCATTTTGTTTTATGAGGCTGTCCAATCCCCAGCTGAACCGTGAACCTCGGGAGTGAGTTCACCACTGAGCTAAAAGGATGTCCGGGGACCATACTCTCAGGGTTTCTCCAGTCTCTGTCAGGCCAGTAAATCTGGTCTTTTTTTTGTAAGTTAGAATTTTGTACTACATCTTTCTCCAGTTCTGTCCAGGACCCTCTGTTGTCATCCCAGTCAGAGAAGTCAGTGGTGGTAGCCAGGCACCGTCTAGCTATACTGGACTCAGTCCGGTGGAGGCCTTGGTAGCTGTGGTCCATTAGTCCTTTGAACTAATCTTTTCCTTGTATCCTGTTCTCTTCATTCTCTGTTGCTCCCAAAGGGGTGAGACCAGTGGAGTATCTTAGATGGCTGCTCACAGGCTTTTAAGACCTGAGATGCTACTCACCAAGGTAGAATGTAGAACATTGTCTTTATAAACTGTGTTATGCGAATTGAGCTAGATGTTCCCCAAGACCATGTTCCCCACAGCCCTCCGCCCAGCAGTTCAGTCCAACAGGGAGTTTGGATGTGTCTAGGGAGCTTCCATGACCTTTTCTTGTACAAGTTGTGCTGGCTTCCCCAGTACTGTGTTCTGTCTCACCCTTCACTAAAGTTACCACTTGTCTATTTAGTTTTTCCTTCCCACCCCTCCCATCCCTTGTAACCAACAAAGATGATTACTTTTTGTGTGTTAACTTTTTCATGGGTTTTTACAATAGAGGTCTCATACAATATTTGCTCTTTTGTGATTGACTGATTTCACTCAGCATAAT